GCCTGGCGGAGAGGCTCAGGGTCCGCCCGGCGCGTGTCTCTCCATCTCCCCGCGCAGCCCTCACCACCATCGACCTGCAGGACCTCGCCGACTGCTCCTCGCTGCTCGGCTCCGACGCGCCGCCGGGTGGTGACCCGGCCGCCTCGCAGGTACCTCCCCTTCTTTCGGAGTCTGGTGGCCTCCGTGGCCCACACCCCGACTCGGGAGCGGTGGGTTTATTTCCGCAGAGGCTCGTCTCCGGAGCCCGGGAGTGCGGGCACATTCAGCTGGCGGGAGACGGCGCCATGCGGGCACCTGGGCCTCCCAGATCAGAACTTCCTTCTCCCTCTTAGCATGTTATGAAGGCCGCATTTCCAGAGCGGTTTCGGCCAACTTGGTACAGTGGGGCCCACCCGGAGGGCTCGCCTGCTCTTCCCCTCCCATCTGTTATTCCCTGGAGCTGTGACAGGGCAGTGCGGAGATTGGCACTGAGGCACCGGGTAGGTGGTGGGACAGAGTTGCGCGCTGGGCACCTGATGCTTGTCCTATTTGTTTTCCCAATACGCTTTCTTGGACATTCACTTACCATTTTCCTTCCGTGGGTATCTAAGGAGAGTGGAAGTCAATGGATACTTCTCTGTCAAGACTGGAAAAGCGGAAAAGAGTTTACATTGGGGGAAGCAGGAAGAAGGACAAAGGAGTCTGGAAGAAATCTGGCAGAAAACATTCCTCTCTGCAGAGATGGCCCTTCAGCAGTTGGGCACTTTAAAAAAGTCCTCTTCTGCCTCTCCAGAAGCTCCAGACACTTGCCATCATGGGGCAAGAAAGCACTTGACTGTTTTCTTTCCTTCAAATGTGTCTTTTTACTTCCATCACACTTCGACTACTTGTCAGGGCTGACATTTCCCAGACAGGGGATGGACTTTTACAGCACTGGTATCAGTGTCCGAGGATCACCTAGTCAGGGAGGCGAGAAGCCTGCCCCAATGGTGGGATATGAAGTGTCCAGAAAGACAGTAGGTATTAGCTAGATGCAACCCATAGGAAAAGTGCTAGTTTCAGCTTCCCGGCAACCCATCTGGGAACTGGGGACAGGCCCAGTAGAGAATGCTCCAGAAGACTACCAGCTCCCAGCACTGGGAGTGGTGATAGAGCAAAGCTGCTCAGGACTCCTTCAAGAGCCTCTCAAGGGTCTTAGGGTAGGTGGCCGCTGAGAGCAGAGTTTGATAAGGCAAGAGGTGGAAGTGGGCATTGCACTGCAGAGGTGTTTACTTGTTCTTTTCAGATACGGATGCTCAAATAAGGAGAGGCAATGCCTGAGCGTCTTCCAACTCACCCAGAGGCCTAGGTCATTCTCTTACCCTAACATGCTTATTTTGCAAGCCATAAGAAACAAGCAGCTCTTGCTGAAATTTTGCTCAAGTATGCAGAATTTTAATCTAACGTCATGTTCTGTGTTAGTAAAAAATTTTTTTCTTGTTGTAGTTGGAGAAATGCCAGATTTATCTAATCGGGAAGGTAGGATTCAAAATTTCAGGGGCAGAGCTCACACCAGATGAACCAAAATGCCCAGGATTTTCCCTGGGAAAGACAGTTGATACAGTGGTGAGAGGCCCCTAGGGGAAGAGTGCTTGGTGGCACCCCCAGCCAGTACACACTCAACACACATTTCCCAGTCCCTTTCCTGCAGGGGAAGGTGGTCAGAGAGAGGAAGTACTTTAGAACCGTTTGAGGTTCAGAATGGGCCAAAACCTGGGATGGCATTGGAGGCAGCATCTCCTGGGCCCACCTCCTGAGTTGGCCTCCAGTCTCCTCTTGGTAAGAGCTTTTCGAGAATCCTTACTGAGAGGGAAACCTTTCAGCCCTTGAAGAATGAGTCTCATGTCTGACCCCTTCAGCCAGTGCAGAATTCCCACCCCGGGATTTTTCTGGGGCCCTCAGTCCTTTCTTTCTCGGCTTCTTTCCTCTCACCTCAGTGTCCAGCTGTTAGAATCCTCCCTGCTTGACTTTTTTCCCCTGAGGAAAACCGATACTCATACATTCTGTGAAGTAAGGGTCAGAATAAGTTCCTTTTCCCAGAAATATTTGAATAGTAAAGAAGAGCTTTTTGGAGAACAGTATGATTAACACAAAGGAATGGATCAATAGTGGGATCGGTAGAAACATATTTCTGATGGAGATAGATAGATAGGATGCATCCCCTCACACCATGACCCTGGAGACTGTTCCCCTTCCCAGCGCTGGCTTTGGTGGAAGTTGGGTTTCTTAGAGAGAGAGAGAAGCTGGAGGCAATGAGGTATGGAGGATAGAGGACTGAAATTGGCAGGAGCATTCCGGGGCGGGAGTCCTCATTCCATTATTTCAGAACTGGGTGAATTTGGGTAATTTCACTTCTCTGATTCTCCCTCAGTCAAGAGGAATCACCTCCCGGGCCCTGCCTGTTTCCCACACTGGTATGAGGATCAACTCTGTGAAAAGAGTTTTGCCAACTCTGAATGTCCAAGAATTAAGAGAACAAGAAGGTTCCTGGGCCTCCAGCTCTTTGCGGTCTCCTTCCTCATGCATCCAAACACCCGCCAGGAACCCAGGAGAGGGTACGGTTCAAGAGGGTACAGATGTGGAGGCACATCAGGCCTAAGGGAAGTCAACTCCCAACTTTTGGAGACTGCAAAGAGCAATGGAGACCACACCTGCTGCGCGCTGAACAGAAGCATCTTCCAAAGTGTCCCTGACCACTCGTTGCCTCTCCCTTCCTTTATGTGACGAGCCTGGGCGGGAAACCGCCTCAAGTTACTGCTTGACGTTGTTGGATCTTGGGAGGAAAGACCGGGTGTTCACGCACACCGCCTCCTGGTAGAGTGGTGGCTTGGTGGCAGGTCGGGGGCAAGTTGCGGTTCCGCAGGCGCACGTGGAGCGCGCCTGGCCTCGCAGAGGCGGCTGGTTGGCTGGTGGCTGGCCAGCGGGGCGGGCGGGGGACTGCGCCGCCTGCCAGAAGGACTGACGGCGGACACACAGCCAGCGGCTCACAGGTTTCGCGCCCTGCGGGAGCCACGCCCTGCAGCCGCCACTCCGGGTCTGCGCTGGGCCGTGCGTCCCGCTCGCCACCATGGCAGTGCAAGCCTGATGGCTTCCCTGTCCTGGACCGGGCTTGGTTTGCAGACTGGCCACTGAGCCCGGGAGGATCTCTGTTGGTCTAGCAATTGCCTCTCACTGGCTAGACTCGACGTTAACCGGTTTACACTTGTGGTTTACTTTAGAATCCTTCCCTCCAAACGGGAGTGGACTTCGATCTGCAGGATTTCAGAGACACGGTGGATGATCTCATTGCAGGCAAGTGCAGCCCCCTTTCAGTTTAAATTACAGCGGGAGTGTCCCCTATCCCCAAATCAGACTAGTTCACATTTTGTGGTCGTGAAGGGGCTAAACCCAACCACCTGTCAGTGACTTTCCAGCAACTCCTCAAAGGGTCAGGCTCTTCCACATTTAGGACATTTCTCTCTCCCCAACAGAGAAGTTGAGTTGCTGATCAATAGCGCTTTGTCAGTTGGTCAGTGTGAGTTCTGGGATAGGGAGTCCTGCCCTGTGATGTGGCCAGGGAGAGACTGAGTGACAAGAGTGTGCAGAGGATCGCAGGATCCAAGGCCTGTGTGATTTCCAGGCTCAGGAAGGTTTCCTTGATTGACTGCCGATCAACTGTACAGGCATATATCGAGCGCCTGCTGTGTATGTACAGAGCATCCGGAATCGTAGGCGTTTTGGATTGAGGGGGCTTTACTTCATAAAGGAAAATCATATAAACCCTACACCCAGAGTGGCATTTTGCTTCTGGGGCTAGCTGGGCGTGCGTCCGAGGCTGTAAAACCAACTCTCACTCTTCGCCAGACTCGTCCTCTTTGATGTCACCTCCCCTGGCCAGTGGCGACTTCCCCTTCTCACCATTCGGGCCCTGCCTCTCCCCACCACTGGACCCGCGGGCCCTGCAGTCACCGCCGCCGCTGCGCCCTCCAGACGTGCCCCCGCCAGAGCAGTACTGGAAGGAGGTGGCCGACCAGAACCAGAGGGCGTTGGGGGACGCGCTGGTTGAGAATAACCAAGTAGGAACACAGGGCTGGCAACCGGGAATCACGGGGCAGGGACGAGGTGTGCGGGAGGGTAGGAAGTGGAGTTGCCAGGGCTTAAGGGCGAGGATGTATCCCTGTGGATGCCAGAACCAGTGGATTGGTTAGTGGTTCAGTAGCTATTGTTCCGGTGGCTCCACCTTCCGTTTCTGACTTCACTCGGTGGGAACAACCGCATCCTACCAGATGTTTATTAGGGCTGCCAATATTTATTGAAAGCTTCTGTGTGCCTAGCCCCGTTCTTGTCAACTTCCCGTCTCCTCTCGTTTAATGCTCACAGTCACTGAACTAGGTCCTCTTACCAGCTCCATATTACAGATAAGGAAATCGAAGTGTAGGATAGTTGAACTTCACAGAGCTAGAACCTAGGTCTGCCTGTTGCCCAGGTCAGAACTCTTCGCCACCAGGCTACCCTGAGGATTAATTGTCCAAGTGCTATAAAAAAAAATCGAATGAATTGATGATTATTCTCACCAGTGTAAATGCCCATGGGTGGGTCCTCAGTTCTTTTGTTGTTGTTGTTGTTTTTGCTTTATTTGGAGGGTGGGGCTGTCTTCTTCCTATGTCTGTCCTCACACGGTCTTCTCTCTCTGTCGGGTCCCCAGTTCTTGACGAGACGTCAGGGTCTGGGTTGGCTTCATGCGGTATTTGCAGACTAGACCACCCTTGAATGTTTGGGTCCCCCCCCCGCAGCTGCACGTGACGCTGACCCAGAAACAGGAGGAGATCGCGTCCCTCAAGGAGCGGAACGTGCAGTTGAAGGAACTCGCCCGTCGGACCCGGCACCTGGCCTCGGTGCTGGATGTAAGTGGGGCGCGGGCGACAGGGAAGGGGCAGCGGGGCGTTGGGACTGCTGCAGTCCTCCCCACCCCGGGCCCTGCTCCCGGTGTCTCCCCCTGCGCGCCCGGCAAGTCCCGCAGGCCCCAGGGCGGCGCTCTTCCCCGTCTTTCTAGAAGCTGATGATCACCCAGTCCCGGGACAGCGGGGTGGCGGCCGAGCCCCTCCTGCTCAAGGCGACGGCCAAGAGGAGCCTGGAGGAGCTGTTCAGCGCTGCCGGGCAGGACTGCGCGGAAGTGGACGCCGTCCTCAGGGAGATTTCTGAGCGCTGCGACGAAGCCCTGCAGAGCCGCGACCCCAAGCGGCCCCGGATGCAGCCACAGCCCGCGAGCCCCGACGGCAGGCCCGGGAACCTGCACGGCGCCTTCCGGGGGCTGCGCACCGAGGGCAGCGGGGGCGCGCTGAACCTGAGCCACAGCGCGCTGGAGGAGGGCGGCTCCTTCAGCACCCCTATCCGCAGCCACAGCACCATCCGCACCCTGGCCTTTCCCCAGGGCAAGGCCTTCACCATCCGGACGGCCAGCGGTGGCTACAAGTTCCGCTGGGTCCCCAGCTGAGCTGGGATGTACGCTCCCGCCCCAAAACACTGCCCTGAATTTCGACTGAAACGCCTGGAGGCTGAGCGGGAGTGGCTGGAACTATTTCCTGAATTCGGCTTCCCAGAGGAACTCTCCCTTCAGGGCGAATGCCAGCCTGAAACTTCTGTTTTCAGGAACCAAAACGTCCTTTTATTCTGCTGCACTGTTAAGTTCTGCTACAAAACACTGTAAAGCCCCTCCCTTTGTCACAGTGAAACTGTACTTGTGTGTATGTGTATACACACATAATCACAGTCAATTTAAGCAGTATTTTTAGTAGCTTTGAGTTATGTTTTTAGAGCAGGAAGGGATTTAGAAACTACTTTTATAATTATGTAATGCTCTAGTTTTATAGGAAGGGAAAGGAGGCTCCAACAGGTTAAGTAATTTTCTACAATAGGAATCATTATTGGAACATCCCGGTCACTCTCATTAGTCACTTAATTCCAGACCCAGAAACTCAGTATCTGGGTGAAAGTTTTAATACGTCACAACTTTCCTCAGTCCTGGCAGGACAACTAATTTCGTTTCCAGTGAAAACTTTTATTTTAGCTGCCAGAATAAAAAAAATCAGGAGAGGTACCCTAAACAGTTGCCTTAGAAAAATGCAGATTCTCAGAGGCAAAGGACTGTCACAAGATGGTTGCTAAGCACATTTGTTTGTAATGATCATTCGTATAATTTTGAAGATGTAGGGTAAGTGTTTCTATTAATTATACATAGTTTTATTTGCCCAAACAGAACGACCACCAAAAAAGCAAATGTGCTTAATAAGATATATAAGTTGTTTTAAGAAAATGATATATGACATCAAAAAGAATGTTGACGTATTCTGTCAGACACCAAGTATGGAAATCTTGGTAAAAGTAAATCTATTAACTTGAATTCCAGAGACAAAAATGGGGTGCCTAGTCATGTTTTACAAGTGCTGGCTTGATCTCTTTGGCTTGATCTATACAACATGTAAGAAAAATGTCTTACTTTGAAACTGCAAAGTGTCCTCACTTTGACTTTTCTTCTACTCCTGTTGGTCTGGGCTCCTTTTGCTACTCAGTTCTGAAATTGTGTGAGTGGCGCATGTCAAGTAGTGATTTGTCCTGACCTCTGTTCTCCACATGAGAGCTACTCCGTGCATTTGGGGACTCAGCCTGGGCAAGCTTCCAGCTGTGTTTCAGCACACTGCAGAACTGTCCTGCCATCTGAGTGGGACTATCGGGTAACAGGTGAGCTGGGCAGGGCAGCAGAACCTGCTTCTCCAGTTTGTCTGTGTGCACTGTTATCTGTATTTAGACAGCCACTCAGAAACCAAAAAAAAGGTGATAAAGTAGACCACATTTCCTCATATTTTGACTAACCAAATGGATTCTTACAAAGTACGGTGGATGGTTCAGAATTTTTTCTTCATCAGCTCAAATATAAACTTACCACTGTCAAGATAAAAAACAAAAAATTAGATCAACCACCATACCGTCCCTTAACCTGTCGCAAAAAACAATAGACTTGTCAAAAGTCGTTTCCTCTCCTCAATTAGTATTCTCATAATGCATTACCTATAATAACCAAAAAGTTTTTTTTTAAATTATAGATTTTTTCTGCATGCCTTATGCCTGGATTATTTTTAAAAATTATACTTCTTACTGCCTTTACGATTATAGCCCTATAATTGTCATATTAGCCACTGGCAACTCTAACTACCTATGCATCTTTCATTTCTGGGGGTGGATGTGAGGAGTTTTCTTGTGAACTAATGGCACAAATGACCAACTTTGGATTAACTAGCAGTAGTAGAGTTTAAAAAATTAGATTCATTTGTTTATTCAACAGATATTTATTGAATGTTACTGAGAATCTCCATTATACAGATACTAAGAAAACAGCAACAGAACAAAATACAAAGATCTTGCCCTCATAGATCTTACTTTGTCTTGGAAAGAGAAACGTATTAGGCAGATACATTTATAAGTGCTATGAAGAAAATGAATAAGAGTAGGGGATTCCATATGCATGTGGCAGAATAAGAAATGTTTATTTGGTCTTTGTCCCCTATTCCTGGCTTGTGGCTTTAAAACCCTTGGAATTTAACCAGGGGTGAGGGCTTTATTTTTTAGAGATGGAGTCTCTCTGTGTTGCCTGGGCTGGTCTTCTCCTCCTGGCCTTCAATAATCCTCCTTCTTCAACCTCGGAGGCTGCAACTGGGACTACAGGTGTGAGCCACTACACCAGTTAAGAGTTTTTTGTATGCTGATAAAATGACTGGTGTCTGGGGGCACTAGATGGATTCCAGATGGGGGCTGGTTTTTGGACAGACCAAGTCATGATTAGAGGGTTGGAACTTTCAGCCTTTGGTGCCCTGTTCCCAACTTTGGTTAGGGGAGAGGGGCTAGAGATTGAGATAATCCCCAGTGGCCAATGACTTAATCAATCATACCTATGAAATGAAACTTTCATAATACCCCCTAAGTGATGGGATTCAGAGAACTCCCAAGTTGGTAAAGACATCTAGGAACTGGGAGGGAAGTGTCTCTGGAGAGGGCACAGAAGCTCTGTACCCCTTCCCATACTTTGCCCAATGCTTCTCTTCTATTTGACTATATATAAGTTAATTTATGAGTATATATAATACAATTACTATAAAACAAGTAATATTAAGACAATGTGTTCTGGTTCTATGAACCATCCTAGAAAATTATTAATCTGAGGGACATTGTCAGAACCCTCAAATTTGTAGCCAAATTGGACAGAAGTATGGGCACACTGGGCACCTAATACTTGTGACTGGCATCTGAAGTTTGGGAAGTTTTGTAGACTGAGCCCTCAAGCCTTTGAAGTCTGACACTAACTCCAACTCGTGGTCGAATTAAGTTGAATTGAAGGACACCCAGTTGTGTCTGGAGAGTTAGAGATTGGGTTGTCGGTGTAAAAACCTTCACACATTTGGTGTCAGGAGTGCTGTGAGTAAAATTAACTCAGTGTGATAGTAAGTAGTCTTTGGGCCTTCCCGGCTGATTTTTTGATTTATTGTAGAGATGAGGTCTTGCCAAGTTGCCCAGGCTGTTCTCGAACACGTGGGCTCAGGCAATCCCCTCACCTCAACCTCCCAAAGTGCTGGGATTACAGGCTTGAGCCACCGCGCCCAGCCAGCACACGTTTAAAACTAGATTACACCTAAGAACATGACCTCATGATTGCAACAGTTAAGTGTTATTATAAAGTAGTGGTTCTCAAACTGTAGTGTGTATGAGAATCACCTGGAGGGCTTATTAAAACCCAGCTTTCTGGGCCCATCACCAGATTTTCTGATTTAGTAAGTCTGGAGTGAGGTCTGAGAATGTTAATTTCTCACAAGTTTCCAGGTGATGTTGGGGTCCGGAGCCACACTTTGAGACTCAATGTTGTAAAGAAACCTTTTAAAGATCACCTTTAAAAGGTTAAAACAAACAAAACCCAACTGACCTGATGTTCTGCAAAGATTATTGTGATTTAAGATTATATTGTTAATTATAAAATCATATCCAGATTCAAAAAGGGCTATATTTCAAACTGTTGAAAGTGACACGAGTGTGCTTTGAAAAATGATATTAGATGCCTCCGTGATAATGAAGATTCAGTGATAATGAAGATATTGATATTGAAGATGCATGTGAAGAGGTCTGAATAAAATTGTTCATGAAATGTTAAGGAAGCTCCACCTGGCTGACTTTTACATGTTGGGAGAGATCGGAATCTAGTTCTAATTCTCCCAATTAACTCAAAGGTCATATATAAGAACAATACTGTATAATTTGTATAATTAACACTTTCAGTTGAGGAATTACAATAGCATTAGTTTACAATATTAACTAATGATATTTTTTTGCCTATATTTTACCTAAATGGGAGCTAAAGTGGTAAGACAATAGTTAATTTAAAAAGTTATTTGGGGCCGGCGTGGTGGCTCACACCTGTAATCCCAACCCTTTGGGAGGAGGAGGCAAAAGGATTGCCTGAGCCCGGGGGCAAATCCAGCCCGGGCAAATTGGTGAGACCTCGTCTCTACAATCAATTAAAAAAATTAACTGGGTGTGGTGCTGTGTGCCTATAGGTCCAGTTACTCAGAAGGCTGAAGCAGGATGATGGCCTGAGCCCAGCAGGTCAAGGCTGTGGTGGTCGTGAGTGTGCCATTGCACTCCAGCTTGGACCAGAGAGTGAGACTCTGACTCAAAAAAAAAAGTTATTTGGAGCAAAATGTAAGAAGAATCATTGGCTGGGTGATTCTGTAGGTCACATGATTGAATCCAGCCTGTTAATCTTAATTGTTCTCCTTTAAGTGGATGTAATGGACTGAAATCTATGTTGTAAGTGCTGATGTCTCAGCTTCAGCATAGGGCTTCATGGGGCATGATAAAATTAGAGATGTGAAGGCGTCTACATGTAGAACACACAAACAGGCTTTCTCCTTCCTTGATCTCTGCATCTCATAGAAAATCGCACCAGTACTCTGAAGTTCTGTGTCAGGCAATTGAGGTATGGATGGGGGTGATTGCACTTGTTTGAGTTTTAGAACAATGAATGTTTATTTTCCACAGATAATAGTAAGCTGAGACAGGAGTTGCTAACATTTGGGTCAGCTGCTCATGATGCCATCAATGAACCAGCCCCACTTTTCTACTTTATCCCCCTTAACTTGTTAGTCCTGTTGTTCAATGCTTCATGGTCACAAGACTGATGGCTGTAGCTTCAGATATTATGCCTGCATTCAGCATAGGAAAAAAGAATGAAGAAGGAGCTTCCTAGACTCTTTCTGTCACTTTCATTAGGGAAGCAAAAAGTTTTCCCAGGAAACCCCCAGGTATGGGTGAGGGTTACCTGGAGAGAATAAGGGTGTCCTTGTCCATCGCTATCTGCTGGAGCCTATTTGTCAAACGGAGGAAATCCAGAGAGCAACTTTTTTATGTGCTAGAAGACACTCACACCAGTTTCTCAACATTTTTAGGCATCTGTGGGGAGGAAATCTAGAAACAGGGAGGTAGATTCAGTCTTTTTCTCCCCAGTGGAATT